AAATTATAAAATGGGCTCTTTTAGCTTCTACATTAAAACTTGTAAAGATCTTGCATAATAAACATACTCTGTGCATTTTCCTTGATTGTCTACGCCTACGAATCTTCATTCAGCCTTCATTTGTTGTCTGTCAGCAGCAGGTGGGCCGGAGCATGACCGAACTCAACAACCACGTCAACATCGCATTAATAACATACATGGACACACACATGGACACACACACTGTATAATGACTGCATAGAGACACAGTGCACCAGATCAGCACATGCTTTGTCTCTGGGACCACCCAAAGAGGCGCCACAAGCTCCCGCACATGCAATAAATCCACAAACATGTCTCTCTATGTCACACAAGATGGAGATTCAGTGACTGGAGACACTACAGCATGGCCCTCTACTTAAATTCAGATTCACACAAGGAGTCTATGTGTTAAAAGACATTGCTCATTGCCAAGCGTGAGAATTTATGTGTTCAGATATTATATGCAGGCATTCCTATTCGAGCCACAAATGCAAAAATGTGCTCTTGGGGAAATCTACGAGAAAGCGCTGATTTACTGCTCTAACACTCAGCAGAGAATTAGTAGCACATGTAAAGTTTGTTTCGTCAGCTGGCCTGGAATTGAACCAGCGACTCACTAACTAATGATAAAGACGATTACTGTTCTTCCACCATGGACCAAATGATTTTTGATAATGAAAACACCATGAAAACTTTTTATTACCAATGTAAAAGGGCCCATATTGCGCTATTTTCTGATCTATTTTATATATAATGTTTCCTCTTCAAAAACATACCTGGAATTGTGATTTGTTTTATTCACACCCAAATCCTGCATATTTATTTATTATAGACTTTTGTTCCACCTTGTGATTTCATACGTTGTAATACAGGAAGTGTAGTCAGGCTGGCGCCACCTAGTGCCACCTAATTTCATTTCTCTCCAGCGACTAGGTCAGGAGTCGGAATACACTAAACAGTTCACAAAAACCCCGGAAGTGCAAGTTCGGGCACCAGCCAATTAGCGAAAAGCCATATATTCTGTGTCGTCAACGATTTCCAAGATTGATAATGAGAATGTTCGGTGAATTTTATCAAGGGGAAAGACGTTATTACCCTTAATATATCAGTTAGTCTCGTTAGTGAGGTTAATGAGTGCCGTCTCTACTTACAAAAGCTAAAAGGTAGCTGTTAACTTTAGAGATGCGGACAGACTAATAATAAACACAACTCCAGGTATGTTTTTAGGAGGTATATAGCATGGCTTAAAATGCACAAGAGACAATTTTGCATATTATAGTATGTTTAATATTACATTCATAAGATAAGGAGTTAAATGGACAATCGTTATAAAAAGACTAAATCATTTAAGTTGTCATTATGCACCAGTAAATTGAACCATTTTGTGCCTAGATTTGAATATTGTCAGTAAAAGGCCTGCGTCCCATCATCTCCACCATAATTAGTACCATAATTAGAATTCAGAATTTAAGTTATTTCCCTTTACGCAATACGTTTTAACCAATTACACATGTTGCTGACTGTTCCCACGCTCTGCAGTTCACATCCTGGCCACATGAGGGCAGTACATGTCTGAGAAAACCAGGCAATTTAAAGCAGTTAAAAGCCCTCTTGAATGATTTCTCCCCAGAATACAAACCTCTAGAGGCAAACCGGAGACACAGACCATGCAGCGTCCACAACAGTGATGTAAGCAGCTGATAGTTACCTACCAAAGCATCTCCACGGTGATAGATATGTAAAAGTGCTGACGCGAAACATCCGACCTCACTCATTCAAAACTCCAGATGTGAGATCACCGGTGGTCTGTGGTGTCAAGGATTGGTCTGTCAAAGTGTGGTGAAGATATTAACACTTTGCATTGCTGGCTCCATATTGTTGTTTTAACAGTTCTGTGTATTTTGTTTTATGATTTTTATTTAATTAAAGTTTTTTGTAACTTCAATGCAAACAAGGCTGATACTACAGGTGGTGTTATCAATATTCCCACAGTGCTAACTGTAGACACTGCTCTGTCTAAAGCTCTGTTATACAATTTAGATTAGAATTAGCTATTTTTGCTGAAAATCAAACACCTTCACAGAACCATAAACACTCGTATTCATGACAAGCTTCTGAAAATGTGTATTTTAAATCCATTTTGTATTTTTTCAAACAATCTTTTAACTTTTTTTTTTGACTGCGATTGTGTCACCATGGTAAGTGCTTGCTGAATTTTATGCTGTACACATACATACGGAACACCCCCACCTTAGTTCAAGTTGAAATCACTCTGTGTCTTATTTAATCTGGTAGTTTTTATGTAACTAATTTTAAGCAGCTTTATTGATCCACGATGGAAATTACTTGGCAGATCATAGATATACAATGTAAATAACAAGGGGATGAAAAATGACCCTTGTGGTACTCCTGTTTTAATGAGAACTTTTCATTTTCATTATCGATCTGTACATGCTGTTCCAAGTATGATTTCGATTTAGTTTTATTGATGTTAAAAGTAGGCACTGAATCACGATTTCAACACTTCTTTAAAATTCAAAGAGATGTTAAGGTTATATAAATAGTATCATGTCTCACTCAGTACCGAACTGTTGGTAACAATTAGAGGTTTTTGTTCCATTCACACATGTTTAACACACCAGCCAAGCATATTAAGGCTGAGTTTCTGCAGCAAACTGAAAACACTCTGTTCCACATTGTGATGTCATGTATTCCATATAGTGCTCCACTGTGTTTTTCAACTCCATATACGTCCCCTTCACTAGAATTATGTGGATAATTTCAACCCTGGATATGCCAATCTCTTCTGAACAAAATGTAAAAAGGTAGCTGTTAACTTGACAACTACCACTACATGAAATTATGAGGTGGAACAGAGATTTTTGAGTTTTGGAGATGTAGACAGACTAATAATAACTGGTTACTTAAACATGTGTGAGTGAAACAAAACACAATCCAAGGTATGTTTTAGCGGGTAACAAGATTATAAAATGGCTTAAAGCTTATAAGAGTCAATTTTGTGTAGGATAGGACCTTTAAGTAGTATCTAAAGAACAACTTTTACTTCAACAAGAAATAGTTTACAGTTTCTTTTGTAAAAAGGAAAAAAGAAGAAAGAAAAAAAAAAGAAAGCAGAAATAGCCGTGATATAACCCGCAGAGACTCCTGACAGATCTCTGATAATACATTCTGTCCTGAGTCCTCTGAAGATATGGGAGGGACCACTTTGACAGTCCAGATCCTACCTGTCACTACACTCAAAGTGCGTTGGGTAATTTGTACAGAACTGACCACTCATGCCCCTCCCACTGCCCCCCTAACTCACTCTCATACACATTCATACACCACAACAGAGGATGCCCCATTGATTCAGTGACAGCCTGTCAATCACTCAAACACGTCCCGCCCTTCTCACCTGTAAACGTCAGTCTCCAGGGCAGTGATTGGCCGATTGGCTCTGTCACTCACAGTGTCAGGCAAATGTAGATCTATGGGGGCCCATTCAGAGACAGCCCCCAGAAGATTTGAACACTTTTCTTCACAGTCATGCACCGATGATGGCAGTTGTCACCGGACGATGGGCCCTTCCTGACTCCTGAGTGAGTGGCCAAACAGGAGAGGCGTGGGTGTGGGAGGGGTGAGGGTGGGATGTGGGGTAACATGGGGTAAACTTCATAAATATGCAATGATTTCAGAGGCAGACTAAACATGGAAGATGACAGGGCACAATTGCACGCACTAGCTGAGGGTGGAAAGTTGTTGAGAAATAAATAAATAAATAAATAAACTATAACTAACAGCACAATGACGTAATGGTTAGAACTTAAACCTCACAGTTCTTGCATGTTCCATCTTTCAGCGGTCACAGACAAACTATAAGAAAAACCTGTAAGTTTTCTTGTGAGGATCCGTCTTCCATGGAGCTGCTATGCTATGTTCCTAAGTATGGCATTCAATTTTTCTTATATTTATAATTAGGCCTAGGTATTTTATTGCTAAAATATTTTAAAACATGCACTCTTATTGTGAGTAGGCTTACCTCTTTATACTGTTTATGCTGTGGAATTTACAAAGTGTACTTTTAAATAAAAGTTTAAATAAATATATGTTGTCAGCTGCATGCAGAATCATTAGTTTATGAAAAGGAGAAATGATTATTTCAGACAGATTTGAATTTGTTGTTGATCAGTGAGAAGTGCAGCCCCAGAAGCACTCTGTGTCTCAGTGTGACATGGATCAGATTGGCCCATGGTGTGACTGTAATAATGTGCACAGTGTGAAGGCAAGGCTCCAAGTCAAACGTGAAATCTATGCTATTTCCCATGCAATCATCTGGACTGTAGAGACTAATGAATATATGAAATGTGACAACTATTTACACTTGCAATACATGTAAAAAAAATTAGAACATCTAGCTCAGTTGGTGTAATGCTTGTCCAATCTTCTAAAGGTTGGCAGTTCGAATTCTGCTCTCGACACAAACACATAAGTAGAGCGGTCAGATCCACTGACCCACAGGTTGTTGTGTCCTTGGGCAACCCACCTCCAAGGCTGGTGCACACTGGTGTATGAGTGTGCGTGTGAATAGGTGATTGGTTCCTTGAAGGAAAGTGCTTTGAGTGTTGTAATGGAAAAATGCTAAAAAATGTGACCATTTACTATTTGCCCCTGATGTTAAATCTAAAATTAGTTTGTGTGTTTTTAAAGCAAGTTATTTCAATTCAAAACAAACATCTATTCTAGTCATTCAACAACAAATTTAATGCCATACTGTAGAACATTCCAGGCAAAGCAATAACATATCCATGGTGACAGTTCCACCATGAAAGTTGTGTATTGCCACTTTAATTGCCCATGTACAATGCAAAAGAATTGTTTGGCTACATCTCACTAATCATGTTTCTTGTGTCAACCAGTGGTTATAATAAACACAAATAATATAGTGTCAATTAATTAATGACTTAACGTGATCTTTACAGAATCTGGAGGTGGAGTTGATGACTTATTATGATTACCCTGGAGACAATCTAATCTAAGGTAAGCAAAGAAATAATAATAATGTAAAACCACAGGAACTGCATTTTTTTTTTTACTGATCATATTCTCATAGTTTCATAGTTCTGTGATGTGACCCAGTACTAAACATCTAACTCTCACCATTTGCATACAACCTTATACCTTTAATACCCTCTTCACAGATCTAACCAGTAACTTGGCCTATTTAATAACAAAGTTCAAGGACATGCTGTGGAACATTCCAGAAAAAACTATCTCTATGGTGATGAACCCTTTAAATCAGGGGTCATCAAACTTAAGGCTCATGGGCCGACTCCAGCCCTCCACACCCCTTTGACCGGTCCCCAAGCCCCTCTGCCCCCCACCACTTGAACTGGCCCTATGAGGCAATCTTCAAAAGTTGCCATGGCCTATTTTTTTTAAATTACTTTTTGGCAAATAGTAACACATCTGCATCTTGCATTTTGTTGATTTTTTTCAATGAAAAGATGACATTTATATTTAAATAATTATATGACGTATTTACATTTGCTGCCGAATTTGCCGCCAAATTTTCATCATCTGACAAGCTCGAGATCAAACAGTGACAGTCAACGCACACACAAAGTACTGAAGTGCAGTTAAGGACAGCAAAATGGCGAGTGTTAAAGTACAAAAAGTTGACATAGAGTGCAGAGTTTTCAAAGAACGGTAGAAGACCGATTATTTTGTTATTCAGTGTAAGGAGCGTGCAGTTTGTCTGATATGTAAAGAAAGTGTGGCGTTTTTCAAAGAATATAATCTGCATCGTCAGGGTCATACTATTGTTATACGGCCGACCCGACCCTGACCCCCATTACGGTCAGGAACGATAATGTGGCCCCCAGAGAAAAAAGTTTGGTGACCTCTGCTTTAAGTTATGTAGTGCACCTTTTAATTATACATACAAAGCTAAAGAAGAAAATGTTTAGGTGAATTTTATAATTGTTTTCCCGGAGGAGACAAGCTAAAATACAGTGGTATGCATGAAAATAATATTGCACTTCTACAGCTACAGCTAACTGTACCTGTGTCTGGGGCTTTGTGGTTTAGGTCATACTGTATAACGGGGTTAATGTCACATAGTGTTGGTTGCTTGTTGAGTGTCTGTGTGCAATGGTGTGGTCAATTAAAAGGTGAAAAGTTTACAAAAGTTTCTGTTGGACTTGTAAAAGGCTCAATCACAATCTTACATGCACGTTGTATTTTTAGTTTGAGGTGGTTTACCTTGAAAAACTGCAGGAGGTTCACTCTGGGTTACTGGTTCCTGTGTGAATCTCTCTCTCCTGGGCTAATTGCCCTACTCTTCCCTATCATAAACATGGCCCAATGCTAAACATCAAATTCTCTTCTTTTGCATACAACCTTGCACCTTTTATTCCCACAAGCCACTTTGCTATTTGCTCTTCCTCTCCTCCAATCTACCTCTTCACGAATTCTCCAAGTCCTTGTTTAGCAGAAGTGGGAGACAGAATGGCTGGCCACTTGAGGACGCAAAGGGAATGAGGTAATCCATTGCGCATTGTAGACCCCCTTTTTGTTCGGAATCTCAAGACTTCCCAGAGTTCCATGTGGGAAACTTTGTCTCCTTTTCCGAAGCAGGGCAAGAAAAACTGGCTTGGCATAATCATGTTGACAGGTGAAGAGGCGCTGCTTTGTGTCGGAAGGAGAAAACATGGTATAAAAATGGTTTGTTTCAGAGTGCCCTTGAAAAGCTGCCATTTTGCCAGCCGTACCACACCGAGGACTTGAGTGATGAGAATGGCCCGGGCATGTTTTCAGCTTGGCCAAGGCAACGCAAGACAAATGGAACGTGAAAAGGGACAATCTTTAATGAGAGGCTTACTGTTGCCCAGAAGCCTCGCTGGTGCTGGTGGTGCGCAGAGCCACAGAGCGACAATAGGAGCGCATGGTTTAATGAAATGATTACAAGTGTCTGTTAAATGCCAATTATTTTTAGTTTACATTCGCTGTATGGTGTCTGCTACTAAGTGTGTAGCACTATTTTAAGCAGCCATACAATGCTACTGTCTGATCTGATGTTATAATGTTGTTTCCTCATCAAAAACATACCCACAGTTCACACGCTTAACACACAAATCTTGCATATTCTGCATGGGATGTAATAATAATAATGAGTTTTATATAGCGCTTTTCTAGAAACTCAAAACACTTTACAGAGCATTATTTGTCCCCTCCATACCCAGTGGTGGCAATCTGTTGTAGCCACAGCTGCCCTGGGTCAGACTGACTGAAGCGAGGCTGCCAACCTGTGCCAACCACCAGCATTACTCACACACACAACACTTTCATACTAGGCAATGTGGGTGAAGTACCTTGTCTAAGGACCATGTGGCACCTGATTGTCCCAGTGGTCTCCCATCCAAGTACTAACCAGCTTCTGAGATCTGACGAGATCAGGCTTTGACAAGCTGGTATGTTTAAATGGTAATACAGGACGTGCTCCACTATGGTTCTAAACTCCATACATCCTCACTAGAATCATTTGATGATTTCAGCCAGTCTCTACAGAACTAAAAGCAAAAGGGGCTGTTAACTTTAAAACAACTGCTCCATGACATCACAAGGTGACATTTTGAGCTTTGGAGATGTAGACAAACTAATAATAAAGGGTTTCTCAGACATGTGTGAATGAAACAAAACACAGCTACAGCCTCCAGGTATGTTTTTGAGGCGGTAACCACATTATAACATGGCTTCAAGCTCACAAGAGTCATTTTGTGTAATCCTGGCCCTTTAAAAAGAGTATTTTTCCCTTTTACAAAATAACTGCTAAGAATCTACACAGAATGTTGTGCTATCTGAGTCTGTCCTTCGATTTCATGTTTCAGGTCGGTGTAGACATGGTGTCCAATTTCCCCAGATTACAATTCTCAAGGGCCCAATGACTACTAAGCATGACCTCACATTTTCTGTAATAGTATTGATTGGGCTGTTAGTCTGACTTGTATTTGGAAGAGAGAAGACATGCAGTGCAATGTTCAAAAGAAGTAATAAAAAGTGTACTGTACAAAGTCAAAATGGGCAGTGACAGTATCAGACCTATAGATCCTCAGAGTAAAAGCTTTTCCCACAAAGAATTGCATGTTCTTTTAGTGTGTGCATTTGGCAGGCGGTCCATACTAAAAAGTTTACACAAATCACAAAACCTGTTAAACCCAGTTAACATAAACTGCATTGATCCCATGGGGAAAATGGTTATTTATATTTCAGTGGTAAGGGCCACTACAGCACTGTGGGGAGCCTTTTCTAGGTCTTGCTCAGGGGTGCCTAACCAGAGGATAGGTCAGTTGTACCTGTTTTTTTTACTGGTGAGGGATCTGCCACGTGCTTGTCTCGATGAAGCTGATATTGCTTTGCCTGGAATGCTGAAAGACATGCATTCTAACTGAGTAAGGTTCTCCTTTCCACAGATCTGACCTGTGAACTGACCTGGGGGCATGACCAGGATGACTAGATGTCTCTATTTACTCGGGACAGTCCCAGTTTTGAGGCCTGTGTCCCCTGTCCCAGCAGATTTAACCAAAACCAGTGATTTGTCGCAGTTTTATTCAAGAAATGTCCCAGGTGTCGCTATTTTTGACCAATCTGATCCCTGCCAACAGTAAAGAGAGGCATAAATTGAAATTTGTTTAGGTAAAATACAAAAAAAGCTGCATAAAAACGACCAAAACACAAAGAAAATGTGACTATACTTATTCACATTAGTGCCGAGTGCAGAACAATTTTCCTTAATTGCGCACTTGTTTGACAATTTCATTATTACCAACCACCATAAACCAAGGATGTCATAGTTTTTTATTTTGAAAATCTGGTCACCATAGGCATGACATGCTTGTTTCCATGAACATAGTCAGACAGGTTAATGCCATACTATCAAATCTTCCATGCAAACTAATATTATCTTCCTTGAGACAAGCAGATAAGACAACCTCCATCTGAAAAGTTACATAGTGCACTTTTATATTCCATTTTTTGCACTGTATATGTTTTAGTTTATATTCTCACTGCATCACTCTTGTTTTGTTTGACCTCCAATATTTCTGACCAACTTCCATACACTGCTAATGAGACTTAAACATACCCCAGTACGTGAGATGGAAGGCCCTAATGGTGTTTTCGCATTAAGCTGATTAAACATCCCTCTCCCCTTGTTCAACTTCACCTGCCCAGAAGTGGTAGCCTGTGACAAATGGAATCTTTATGTAATCCGGACTAAATCACATGCAAACTGCCCACCAGCCTCTCCATCTCCGGCGTGAAGTCCTCCTTAATCTGTTGTACACATGGAGTCTTCAGCGCTAATCTCAAACCTTATCTCACTTTTCCAGCACGTTCACCAAATCACCACGTCCCGCTGAAGGTCGCCGCAATGTCAGTTTTGAGGTCACTCCGACTCGGCGTGGTGCCTCAGAACTCCTGCTGGTCCAGTTGGGGAGCTTTGGGGCCGATACTGGCTTCAATCACTGATAGAATTAGGATCTCCGCGAGCCTCTCCCCATCGCGTTTAGCCTGCTAATCCCCGCAGGAGATGGGGGGCAGTAGACCATGATAATACTGACGGAGAAATGGTTGGCTGAGAGAGAGTGAAAGAGGAGTAGAGAGAGAGAAAAGTGAGAGTGCCAATACTGGTGTCAGCAGTGAAGGTGGCGCCCAAATACATGAGGGCCAATGGGGATGAAAAGTCGCTAGCTCCAGCACTTTTCAGCTCAAGTATCTGCGATCTGATAAACTACTGAGATTTAGTTAAGACTTCATATTTAGAGCGTGGATTAAGATGGGAGGCAGCGTTCTTAACTGTGTTGGTGCCAATGTCACATTGTGCCTGTTATGCTCAGTTTGTCAAATGGGATTTTATCTGTGTTTATGTATCCTTCATACTCAAGTGTTCATCTTACCAAATACTTAATACCAGTGGTGAACCATGTCCTCCAGACCTAGGCCTTCAGACTCTTATTTGAAATATATAACTAGTGATGTAA